TGTTATTATTTTTTGTAAAATATATGTTTCGTAGAAAATATGAACATACATAATATGTGGATAACATTTTTTCTTATTTATTTATTTACTACATAGGAAGCCAACATAATGTACAATGATCCAAATTTTTTAACATTAAAAGTTTTACAATATAGAATATGTATCTACAAAGTACACTACAATTGTAGGCTAACTCAGCATGTACTGTAATAAAAACATAAGAAACATTATTAAATTAGATGCAACAAAGATTTTTAGTAAATAAAAGTAATTGAATTAATATTTTAAAAAAGTGTGTATATAAAAGAAAACTGCAGTTTAAGATTAGTTTTAAATCGAAAACCATTTTTTTAATAAAGAAATATTTTATTTATTTTAACATATATAAACAATGAAAAATGTTCTCTAATATATTAATTGCAAAGCAGATTAAAAACAGTAAGAAATTTAATTAAAATAATGACATATTTTGCTGATTTATACCCTACTTCTGATTGAACATTTGTAATATGTATTGTCATTTACTGAAAATACTTTTTTCGTAAAATATTTTATAAATTTGACCATCACATCAGGAAGGATGTGTCATCTAATAAAGTTTCTTGCAAAATTCTTATCAATGTTTTCTAACTTTGCTTTTTGAAATAAATATTGTGAAGCAACCGTCACTGACATGAAATTGCCCTAATGATGTTTTAAAGCTGTTCAAATCACGATAGTTGCGTTGTTAAATCTTATAGTAGGGGGCCGTTCAAGTATTACGTAAGCAGATTTATTACAATTATTTACCCCCACATCCCCCTTGTCACCAAAAGTAAGCAATGATCTTATCTAAACATGCTTACGTAAATATTTTCAATTACAGTATTGTTTTTTTTTTAAATATAAATTCATAAAAAAAATGTAATTATATTTTTTATGGATCTTCTCGATGTGATGATAAAAAAGTAAATAACTACCGATGACGTAATCATCATCTTGACTCCCCTACCCCCCATATATATGATAGATCAATAGCCGAAGTAATGGGAATAGAAATTGTAGAACTGTTTAACGTTATAACCAGCGGCTAAGGTCATTCAAGGTCACTTAAATGTACTAAATCGGTACTGATAAAAATGCATACATAGACAAAAATGTTTAAAGCGAATATAATTAAAACGTAAGTCGTAAAAACGTTTTTTTTTACTCCATACTTAAGTTAACATCTCACAAATTAAGTCTGGCGAATACGCATTACTCAAGAGCTCTTTAACGATAGCGGTCGTTAGAATTTCATAAAAGAGTAACATTTAAGCGTGGTTAACAAGACTGGGTTAAAAAAAACTACGCTTCAAAATATAACGTTTAAGAATAAGTAAAAAAAGGAAGATAAGTAGAGATTTCACAATTTAATCATAATTCAATATTTAATTTATACCAAAAAAAAAAATTAAATAAAATAAAATCAAAACAAATAATTTCTTTACATAATTTCAACAATGTTCTCAAAACAAAACTTGTAAATTTTTATGTCCTCAGAAACTGTGTCACCAAACTTATCAAACTCTAAGATTAAAGAAACAAAAAATCATTTATACCTTTAACATATTCGTAGTTTTCGTCGGCGAATTGGTCGCCGGCGCCGAGCATATCTGGCCTCTTTACAGCCCTAGGTTAAGCGCCGGGCGACGTGGTCCTGGGTGGCAGACGGGGACTTCTATCGCCCGTTGATAGGATCAGTGCGGTGCTAGCCCCTCTTGTTCCAGGGGCGGCTCGCGGTGGTGGTTTGCGGGGGGATTTGTCCCACCTAGTTCGAGGTCCGGAGTGGACTAGCGCCGGCAGGGTCGCGAGGCAAGCACTCGAAATACCGTGGCGCTGCCAAGGTGGCGTGGATGAGGAACACCCAGAGGTTTTAGTGGGTCTAAACCCCACATAACCCGGTCAAGTCCCCGCTCGGCCGGGTATCTCGGAGCAGATTTCCCCTGGGAAAAAAAACATTTTCGTAGGTTAACTAATCCTGGCATTAATGTTTTAGCTCCCGAAGTACCTTCTAAAAGAAAACATTACTGTTGTAGAATTACTCTTATTTGCATTTTGTTACACTAACATAAAAACAATCTATTTATACAGCACTGCCAAAAATCTTTATTAGTATTTAAATGTCACAAATATTTGGTTTCTTCATAATTCTTAAAGTTAATTCTTGAGTGATCAAATCGTGATTTGGATAAATACTGTTAAATTTAAGCTGCAGCAAAAATATAAGGGTTAGAATAACATTTTGAACTTTAAATGTGAACATATCTGAAAAGCGTTAGTTTAAGACACAGTGAATATAAATGTAATAATAAGGCTTTTAAGATAATAATGAAATTATTTCAAATTAAAAATCTTAAAATCCCATTACACGACTAAGTCTATATATGAAATAAAAGGTGGCAAAAAAAGTATCCAACGTCGACTTTTCACTCATTAAACATAATTAATTATTTTTTGATTATCATAATAATAGCATTGGGAAAAGAAAAACAATGGAAGACTAAAATAAATACTCGCGAAAGTCTTAGATCTCATTAGGCAGCTACTTCTTTATTCAACAATAAAGTAAAGATAGGATTTAGACGTGTCTGAATCTATGCTACTGTGTTAATGATACATTGTGATTATCTGCAACTTGAACCAGGGTAATTCTATTTTAATACATTAAGTGATATCCGAATGTCAAAAGTGTCGTGTAAAGTACGTCTTATTCCTTTAGTAATAGGGTTAGTTAATTTTAATACTAAATAATGTGACGTTAAAAACATTTCTTAATTATTTATAAAAACATGTTTACGAATAAGAAGACCTCAAAACCATTAATATTCCTGACAAAATTTAAGACTTTATTAATGTTCAAACCTCGGATACCCACTTCACTCGTTAGGTGCGAATAAGCAGTTTTAAAGAGAAAATAAGATCTTCTTCCTGTCATTAAACCGAGTCTGCCTCAGCTTTTTCTACCGTTTGGGTTAAGCGGTTCACATTTTTCGAACACTTAAAAATTTTACTCATCAGAAAACGTTCTTATTATTGCTTAAGCTTGTGATTTAAAATCATTATTTTTTTAGTCGTAAATTACAAAGGTGTTAATATACTTGTATATACATATTTATATCTGTAGATTGTGTCTTTTTAAATTTATTTTTTGATTCATCTGTTTCATTGACCTTTCTTATTTCAGAATCTAATGGAAGTCTAGATCTAATTGTCTGCTACGGATATAAACACGATGCAGTGGTTAGAACAGGGGAACATTCGTAAATCATATCATTAGTAATGCGCTGTCTGCAATTTCCCGACGGCGTTACCGCAAATGTAAACACAATCTGCCGTTACGATTCAATCTCATGCAGATTGCAGTTATGTTCTACAAATGTACGGCGTTAATTCGGTCTTATTTACATGATCTTTGCATATATTTCATATGTAAGCTAACTAATGTTTGGTTACTATATTATACAGGGTGACTGGTGAATTACTATCGATATTTGAGGACGTGATTTGTGACGATCATATATGACAAAATAAAAATTAATATAACATAAATATTAATAAACTTCTAAGTAAAGTTAACCAAAAGTTATGTAATTAATTACGCATCGTGTAAACACCCTACAGATTAGGTATACACCCACACTCACACATACGAGTGCGGCGGCGTTGTGTTGTATCAGCACGCCGCCGCACGCGTCCACACTTGGAACACTTGGAACTTTATTTATTTATACGGAAATTTTGTCAAAAATGAAGTACCTATTTTTTTTACATAATTCGAATGAGAATCATGTACCGAGTATGCTCCTTAAATATTGATAGTAATTCACCAGTCACCCTGTATACTAATAATTATGATTTTTTTAAATTAATACACTTAAATTATCATCTTCGTCAGTAAATCAATCTTAACAAAATTTTTGTAAACCTCTAACTTTATGTATGTCACCCATATTAATACGAAATCATATGAACATAAAGTTTCAGAAAGATATATTAAATTGTATCTCTATGCAAGTTTGAAATTTTCTTTAATATATTACAAAATGTCAACATTGACTGTCCTGTCGTCCGATATATGCGAAGTTTTAGAGCGATAAGACAAGATATTAAAACTCGTATCGCTAGAAAACTTGAATCGAAATCCGGAAACTTTACACGTTTTGGAACCTTCAACTTTTATTATAACCATTTTTGATGATATATTACTTCATGATAAATGTTAATAATACAATCTTCGCCAGAACTTGGAAAAACTATTTCTTCTGAGGTCACAAGTATTGGATAAATATGACAGATTGACAGTTGATTAAAAAAATCTTACGAATGCTCGTAATAATATGTAATAGTTAGTCCGTTTAGTTGTTCTCAAACATGAAGAAGAAATAGTCTGTAAAGAAAGAGACCGGTCACAGGATTTGAGGTCTCTGCGGTGCTAATACCTTTCTTTGTTATGGTGGTAACATTGCTTCGTCATTATTATTCAATAGTACGTACACATGAAAAATTAAATACATAAATAATAATTACAGTGTTCCGTATCATCATCATCATCTCAGCGTTTATTCCGGTCGCTCTTTATTTAGGAAAGAAAATCCCGTTTGTCCGAAATGGAAACAATATTAAATATCTAAAAATAAAAATAACGTTTATGTTTCCTTATTTTCAATGTAAAAATAAGCTCAATTGAGAACTGAAAATCAAATATTAAACATATTAAAAAATACTAAGTATCGAAATTCTTCAAACTTGGAATAAACAATATAACCAATAAACAATATCATTAGTTATCATTTCTGGCTCTCACTACGTACATACTCTACAGCAATCAATATTATGTTGGATTAAAACTTTTTTCAACCAAACTAAAATTTGACATATACACTTTTTGACACTGAAACTACCAACATTTTTATTTTATTTTTCTTTATATTTTGTAGTTTTATTTTTAGTTGTTTACTTTATGGGTATCTATAAATAAAATGGATAAAGGCCGTGTCACGTATTGTACGGATTTAGAAAAATCTGTAATAATAACAAACTTTGAACGAAGAGGCTGGATTCAAGTGGGATCAGAGGAGGAATGGAATTTTTACTGGTCATTCACACAAAACTGTCGCAATATTTTCAGTATTGAAAGCGGGTACAGAATGAACGATAACCAAATTATAAATCACTTTCCCAATCACTACGAGCTGTCTCGTAAGGACTTACTAGTAAAAAACATAAAAAGGTACCGTAAGGAACTCGAACGCGAAGGTAATCCGTTAGCGGAGAAAAAGGAAGTGACGTTAGCGAATGGACAAACTGTAACACGCTATATACACTTGGATTTTATCCCCGTCACTTACGTGCTGCCGGCCGATTACAATATGTTTGTTGAAGAATATCGCAAATCCCCGCAAAGCACTTGGATCATGAAACCATGCGGAAAATCTCAAGGAGCTGGGATTTTCCTAATAAATAAACTTTCCAAGTTAAAGAAATGGTCTCGAGAAGCGAAAACACCCTTACACCCTCAACTGGGTAGTAAAGAAAGTTATGTAATATCACGCTATATTGACAACCCTTTGTTGATTGGTGGAAAGAAGTTTGATCTCAGATTATATGTATTAGTAACTTCGTTTAGACCATTAAAAGCATATTTATTCCAACATGGATTTTGCAGGTTCTGTACTGTGAAGTATGACACTAGTGTGACGGAATTGGATAATATGTACGTTCACTTGACAAATGTAAGTGTCCAAAAACATGGGGGCGACTACAATAGCTTGCATGGTGGTAAAATGAGTATTCAAAATTTCCGTCTTTATTTAGAAGGCACTCGAGGACGTTTAGTCACCGATAAACTGTTCGCTGATATGCAGTGGCTAATAGTCCATTCGCTGAAAGCGGTTGCACCAGTAATGGCCAATGATCGTCATTGCTTTGAGTGTTACGGTTATGACATTATCATAGATAATGCACTCAAGCCGTGGCTAGTAGAGGTAAATGCATCACCCTCCCTACAATCAACTACACATAGCGATAGAATATTGAAATACAAATTGATAGATAACATTGTATCCGTCGTGGTACCCCCGGGAGGAATTCCTGACGCCAGGTGGAATAAAATTCCAACCCCAGAAGCTTTAGGTGATTTCGATGTTTTGATTGATGAGGAGCTTATGGAAAGAGATGATTCCGCTCCTCGAAATAATAAAAGTAATCGAAGCAAGCCTTAATTTTAAACGACTTAAAACGTGGTCCAAAGATTATTACAAGTTTTACAATAAGTATCTCTTTTGTGTTCCGAAGTTATTACTGTTTTTAGATTATTTTTTCTTTTTTAAATTTTAACTTCTATTTCTTTATATTCTCAAAAATGTGAAAAAAAAAACAAAATTGTTTTATTTTATACATCATTCATGTTTATTATGACAATAATTGTAAATAACATTATTATTTTACTTTTCATGAAGCTTCTAGAGAAACTGGTAAGTTTTAGTTTTTATCTAACAAAACAGCAAATTTCTTTACCTTAGGAATGGTGTATTTTTATGTTATAGGTAAAAATTTTGTTAATAGTCTACTGATTATGGAAATTACTTAAATTAACTGCTTTTGAAGATGTAGATCCAGATATGTGGCTACAATACAAACCATCAATATAAAAGAAAATAATAGGCCAAAGATTCTTTTGTCGAATGCAATGACGCCACATAAATATTGTGGTCTAGCCATCCCAAATACAAATTGTCCATTAAATCTGTTGAGTACATTTATGCCAAAATAGGAATAGAAATCCTTTTGGAACTTTAACTTACACAGCTCCGTGTAACCTTAGAGGCTGCACAAAACTACTTTACAGAATATTTTATGTACTAGGGAACTATTGTATCATAAAATGACAAATTTCAATTTGTGTATAATAGAATAAAGATTAATAAACGAGAAAGATTTGTAGATAAGATTTTTTAAAAATTATCTGAGGCACTGCAAATTCTACTTCAAATTTAATAGAAATATTGTTAAGATTTTGTTTGGATTTTAACTTTTGTATATTATTATATTACCTTTTAAAGAAACAGCACGTAACATATAAATCAGATATATGTGCTTCAAATTTTACATTATTATTAATAGTTCCACCCAACTTAAGCATCAAGTTTAAGTGAAAGTCGTCTTAGACATTAAATTTAGTACAACCAAGATTTATGAACCGCTTCTTAGTAAAACTTAATGTAATAGTGGGTTTAAACTTAAATCACGCTTTCCTACAAATGTTTCGGACATAAACGAAGAGGTTTCTAATTTCTGCTTATAATGAAAAGCGGATAAGTATTTGGAAGATCTCGTTTAATTTTTATTCTCAATAATTTTTAGTACTTGCTTAGCTTGGATATTTTATCTTATTGAACATCTGTTTCCGAGCCAATTAAGAGTAATGGCGTAACGACTAGCAAGTATTTGTAAACGTTTAATTGACAATTATTATTTCAGACTTTTTTCAAGAATTGCTCTTCCTACTGCAGTATATTATCTAAATGTAATTTTGTTTTAAGGTTTATTTTTGCTAGGTTTATAGGTTTAAAAACAAAACTGAAATAACGTAGCATCTTTGACTTCTAGGAAATATAAATGATACGGGTCAATAAACGTTGATACCCATGACATTAATTAAAACCTTTATAATATTATTACTACTAATTACTTAATTTGGACTCCTGAGTAAAAATGAAAAAAGATTTTGCTCTCCCTTAAATAATAGTTTCTGAGAATTTAGCTTATACTTCCATATTGTATCGCTCTTATAATACTTAAACGAAAATGTTTTATCGCCACTTCGAAATTAGAGCGGAAATTCAGAAGTTGAAAAATCCAGTGTTTTATCGTCTTATTTTAAGTAGAATCAAGTAAAACGCTCTGAGAATGAAACGATAAATATTTCCTCGATAATATCGTAAATGAATATTTACAATATTTAAGTCGAATGACTTACTAGAAAAGTTAGTTTTTCATGTAGTGAGGAATAATTTTTTTTTAAATAAAACATGTCTTATTAACACATATGTTAAAAATACAAAAATATATAAATATAATTGACAACAGTGATTTAGTATAGTTGCTCCAATGCTCCAAACCAATCCCTAAAATAGTTTTCACTTAAATATTTTAAGCCAAGCGTACGTAAATATGTAACTATTTATGTTTTCATTTTTTTGTTTCTTTTTCTATGTAATACCCGAGAGTAAATTTTATCTACGTATAAAAATTTTCAAATGTTGTAAAACAAATTGTTTATGATTTTTTTCTATTTTACATTTTAGCAGCAATTATTAAAATAGCTCTTTCTAGAAACGGATTGACACACTGATGGAATTCTGGAGCAAACTTTCACTCTATTCCGTCAGAGCCTTCGTGCTAATTAACTGAAGTATCCTTGAATTCACTGAATTTTCATACGAGATATGTGTATTATTAGAATAAAAAGTATGAACTACCTACAAAACATATTTCTGGAAACTCATTAACAATCTTCAACTATTCATTATTTTATAAAAAAAATGTACAAACATAGTGCATAACTTAATGGAAATACTTTATTATTGATAGCATTTTAACATTACTGTCATTCTGCTTACTTCAGAAAAAATTGGTTCATTTAACACAGGAAAAATGAAACAGTACAATCTTGCATTTTAAACTACATAAAAGTAGAGTTGCTATGAAAATAACTTGAAGCATTATAAATGATTCAATTAATAATAATTATTATTTTCTTTATCACAATAAATACATTAATGACTAATCGAAATTTGTACAAATTACAACTAATTTACTGGTAAAGTGGTTGTATTACTTTAAAACAATAGCCTTTGACTGTATTTTTTTAAAGTCTACTGCCACAAAATTATACATACAACATTCTTATTACATTTCAAACAAACTAATATGTAACAGATGGATCCTCGGTAAAAGGATTTTACTATGACATAATCAAGGAATATTTTAAACCCTTTCAAGTTATTACATAGTTATATTTTTCTTTTCTCATTAAAATAATAATAATTTGTAGATTAAACTCATACTTAATTTTTTCCTCTAACTCTTCTAAACTTTATAAGCTCTTTGATATTTTCTTGAAAAAGGGCTTTATTTTTGTAACAGTAAATACAAGAGCAATTTTGATATAAATTAGGTATATTAAATTTTTAACATATATAATAATCCTACTAATATTATAATTGCGAAAGTTTGTGAGTGGGTGTATATGTATGTTACTTCTTCACGCTCAAACGTCTGAACCGATTTTGTTAAAATTTTGTATACAGGAAGCTTAATATCATATAGGCTACTTACTTTACATCCCGGAAATCCCGAAAATCCCGGAAATCCGCGGGTAACACCACGGGGCGCAGCTAGTTTCAGTATAAACTGAATTTATATTTCTCTGGATATTCTATTTTGTACAGCTTTCGAGACATTGTAATACCTTATATAAAAGATTGTTGAATTTGCATTTCCAATATTGAATTGTTATAAGGTTTTGGAAACAATATCGTATCATTTTGAAATATGCAAGATGATATTGTGAAGCATTACATTTTATGTTAGTTTCGTTGCTGGAGCAGCGATAAAATAGACAAAATACCTTCTGGCTATAGAAAGTTTATAAAGAGAAAAGAAAGGAATAGATTTTTATAAAATACATATCCGGCGACATTAAATAAGAAGAAATATCTAATGTTGCAGTCTGCCAATAGTTTATGTCTAATTCAATTTAGAGTGTTTTATTAAATATTAAAAAAAAATTAAGCAAGACACAATACGCAATTAATTAATATTATTTCGAAATATTCCTTAAGGACATTGTACATACGGCCACAAAGGGCTTGAAATTAGGATTCGAAATTTTTATTTATTTTTATTTTCGAAAATTTTATTATTGTTGATATAAAAAGTTTTTAATAGGTATTTAAGTTTATTTCTTAAATAAAATTTTAAATTGAACAAAGAAACTATTAACATAATACGCTTTTTTATTTATATTCAAATTAGGTTAGTACATACTTTTTTCTACATTATATATTTTTTGTTTTCTTTTAAAATAAATAAACCTTAATGTACTAAATCTAGCAATGGCATCCGGGTCATCACACCCGGGTGAGTGGTTTGGTTCATGCGAGTTCAGAACTGGTGGTCGTGGCTAGCACTAAGATGTATATACATATATTTCACCATACAAAAAATGCTTGACAATATGACTATTGGAGTAGTAGTGCTATTCTTCTGATGCAAGTCATTGGCGAAGAGCCGCAGAGAAAATCAGTGAAACTGACTATTCCGCTTATCAACCTTGCCAAAGGAGAACGGAAAGATAAAGGTGGAACAATACTCTCGGCCCTTCCTACCAACCTAAGGTTCTTTTACCAACCTAAGAAGCTCAAGTCATTTGGAGCACCTTTGTTTGGGTTGGAAAATTCGACTAAAGCGTTACTATTGAAAGGTTATGAATACTAATAATTCAAATTTAACTTCAGTAGTCTACGAGTAAATATAAATAAAAATCAAGAACAATTTCACAATTATATTTAGTCCAGCTTTGCAATCCTCTGTCGATTAAGCAAATTGTGTATTGTACCTACCCTATTATCCTTCAATCGCACTCGATCGAAATAAGCTTTGATAAAAAAAAACAATTTACTTTTATTGGGTCATGAAAACGATTACTTTGTTGACAATGGAATTTCGTTTTACCAAATAGACATAAATTAATAAAAAAGACCAATTGCCATTAAAGAAAAATTAGGTGTTCTTTTTTAACAATTAAACGACTAATAGATAGATTTTATGTGTAGAAGTGTGGTTTAAACTATTCTTTATTATTACTAAATAAATAGAAAAAACTTCAACATATGTACTTTCATTTCAGAAAATAATTTAATTTATTTTTATTGTAACTGACTGCTTTTGAAACTTCTTCTTAAAGAACATTATCCTGTAGCAGCAGTATGTAATTGAAAAAATCTTACAAACTTATTGACGCGTTATCTCAAAATAATTATACGGCCAAAGTAACTCAAAATTCAAATAAAATAATTTAACAGCAATATTATCACATCTTGTAGAGAAGATAGTGCTTAATACATATAAAAGTATCTTTCATTTTCCAAAAAAAAAAATATTTTCAATAATTTGCGTGATTAAAGTACATATAATGAAATTGTTCAACAGCCTTACT